CACACACACACACACACACACACACACACACACACACACACACACACACGCAGATCACATTTCTTCCTCTGCAGTCAGACTTGATATCTTTCTCACTACTTGACTCTTTTCTTCTTGCTGTAATTCCTGCAGATATCATGTCAGCAGTCTGGTTTCCCTACAGTTACTTTCTTTGAAGTGTATTTGGATTTTTACCAGACATGGCTTGTTAGTGGCAGGTATGTGTCCTAATTATTTAGATTAGTGGTTAAAAGGTCTATTAGAAGAGCCAGGCTGGGTTTGGTAAAACAGAGCTGTACCATCTTGTTAGCCTGTTGGAGGACAACACATTGCCTGCCATTGGTAGGCGGGCGATATTATTTTTGCCTGTTTGTGTTTGTTAGCAAAATGCCTCTTAGATTCAAAACAACTGACAAGTTGGGCCACTTGAGCTCGGTTTTTAACTAGAGGGGTTTCATACAAAAAACCCTTCGCATTCATATGTTTTATTTTCTATTGTGTACAAAAAGCAACAAGTAGCTCCTGATTTGTACTCGGCAACACATTGAGTTTTCATCGTGTCTTCATGTCTGTCAGTGTGTAAAGATTAATGAAGTTAATCAAATCGATGGCTTGTTCTGTCACCATAAGTTCACCAAATATTTCCCAACAGGTGTAAATCAAAACTCACGACAGCGTTTCTTTTCTAAACACAACCTGACCCGAATCAGGTGACCCCCGCCTTCATCAGATTGGGGAGCAGTTTGAAGTGTTTTCAGAGCGTCTGATTGATGTCTTGTGTGATGAAAACCCGAGTAACGTCGTCAGAGTATTGTAGCTGCCATGTGTCTCGGTTTGCAAGGAGCGGGAGAGACAGCGGGAGGTAGATGAGGACTGGAGCAGCAGGGTGGCTGGAGGTGGGGGGGGCTCCTGTTGATATCAGGTGAGATGAGACCTCGAGAGGCTGTTCAAATTTGTTACAAATCTGTTTCAGGTGATTTGACTGCAAGTAGCCAGCTCTATATTTAGGGGTTTAATCGAAGGAACTGGACATCTCTTGTTTCTCGAAGATGTTTTACCTTCACATCCAAAAGGCTTCTTCATTTCAGTTCTTCGTCTGCTTTGACACTTCTGTTCACACTG